TTTAAGGATAGGGTTGTGTGAGGAATGAGCCGTCAAGGGGACCCTATCAGACATTTCATGTTCTGGGCTAAGGCCCCAGCAAGCCAAGTGCCCGCCCTAAGTGAACGTGGGCCTGAATATTCGTCACATGCCAAAATTCGACATTTCCATATGTGGGTATTCAGGCTCTTGCAGCGCGTCAGTTGGTTGAGTGAACGGGCGAGGCTCACTACGCTGCGTCGTACAGTTGGCCCAGGCCATGAAAGTTGTGCCTGGGCGTATACGCACAAAGCAGGACCGATACATTGAGAACCCAGGCCGTGCCCAACTGAAAACGGCCCAGACCCTCAACTGTAAGTTCGGGCCTGGGCACAGGGTCTGGGGCCCAACCGGAAGGTACTGGAAGCTTCCAGCCAGGCCAGACGCAGCATCCAGCACGCGGCCACTTCCTAAAAGGAGGTAGGGCAGCCCAGGCGAGGTACACTGGCCAGCATTGGCAATGCGGAAGTGCTGCTGCGCTTCTACTTGATGCTGCGCTAATGCTAGGAGCGCTGACGGAGCACGAGGTGGTGAGAGGGGTGCTGCAGGGCAGCGGGGCGCAGACTGCCATAGCCGGGCTGCTGGGCGCCAGGGGGTACAGCGGATGATCGGGTGGTCTTTAGGGAAGGAGGCGCTGTGTGGGGTAATCAAGGTCTGATTGAAGGTGACGAGTTACGTACCTGGTACATGATGAGAGGTCGGCGATGGTGTTGGCAGTCATGTACATTGGTCTTTGAGAGTCGAAGTGATCCTGTTGAGTGAACCGGCTGTAGGTAGGCTAGTCAGGTAGAGTAGGCTGGGCGCTGAGCGCCAGACAGGAGAGAGCAACTTTGGATACTGTGTTGGTGTGGCCTACGGGCTTGGACATGGGCTCATTACTTCATTGTATTGCTCTATATAGATGGTTTTCTCGGTGCATTTGTACTCTCTGCTTGGGACACGACTACTGGTTCAGCTGTGTGATTTCGCAACTAGGTTTTATGTATGTCGCTCACACTCATATTCCTTGCAAATTGGTATCAAAGCTGGTTGATGATCGCCGCTTACCTGGCACCGACGACATTGTGACTTGGTGCGCTGACGATGCTTCATGTGCAGTGAGGATACTTCGCCGCTGGTTGATTAGCGGGGCCGAGGTAGAGAGGCCGACCGCTGGAAGGCTGTGGCGACAGCGGGTGTATGCATGATGATGAGAGTATGCTGACGTGGCATTTTGGCTGAGGTGGCACTGCATTGCGTTGTGGGTGGTACCGAGGCTATTGACCGGTCATGGAAATGCACGTCGGCCCAATTGGTGAGAAATCTGTGGTTGGGGGTAGCTATCTCCAGGTACGTTGTTCCCATTCCTTATCTACCCTCTCAATCTCTTCTTACCGTGAGGAAGTGAGTCCAACTTGAGTGTCCTCTCTTTGGTGAGGAGTCGTGTGTGCTCTATCTTGAGAGACAACATTCTTCCTGGTGGCGCATCTGGAAGGAGAGGGTGGTGCCTCTGAAGGGCCCTGGTTGAAGCACGGGTCACGGTCACCATGCCAACCCATGAGTAGTAGTACACGCAGGCCATGCTGCTTTGTCCATTGAGGCTCTTTGCTGCGCTGATAGAAGGGGTGTGCGGATTGACCAGTCCTATTGAGACGCTCCCAGACCGTCTATAAACATTTCTGGTTGGGGTCTGAACTTTTCACTGGCTGTGATCGTCGTCCTGATTGCGACGTTAAAGATTCCTGAGGACTCCGGGGGCTGTCCTTAAATTGCCTCTTGATCAGTCAGATCAGTCAGACGTAAGGCTCGTTGCACGCGAGGGTAAACAAAGGGGCAGGCTGGTCATATGCATACTTCTTGGGCACAGGGGTGGGCCGTGGTTGCTCACCTTAGACACCGCAACTTGATCATGCTCATAGGTACGTTGGATACAGGGGAAGGGGATTCCAATTGTGAACTCAACTGAACATCACTACCATTTCCATTGTGCATTCATCTGCTCACATTAGTCAAAGTTTTATTTTGATTAGTTGGTTGACCGATTGCTCACACCTAATCGACAGACTAGAGTAGGACTGTAAATCTACCATAGTCAGTTCTTCTCGAATCTTCTGTGCAGACTAATCAGAATAGAGTTAGACAATGTGTACAGTTTGTGTAGATGTTGTTGATGACACTTGACTAGTAGACTAGGTAACTCGCCGGACATTGATTTGTTCTTAGATCCGGTCAGACGCATGCTGCGGTAGGTTCCAGCGAGGACATTAGTGCAGACAACATCTGCCTAACCTATGAGTGGATCAAAGGGTGGTGAAGGTGCAGATGACGATAGGAGGATAACAAGGCTATCATCCCTTAGAATTCCTAGAGCGTTTCAGGCCCTACAACCGGGAGAAGAGAGAAGATTAAGGGCTGAAGCTAGGGCCCGTAATCTTGAGGCTGCAAGGGAAGCAACAACAGCTAGAGCGGTAGCAATGGCTACTTCTGCGGCAACTGCTGCAAACTCAACTGGTCAAGGGCTAGGCATGCCGACCAGTTCACAATCCATCTCCACTACGTCAGGGGTTGACACTAGATGGCGGGCTCGCAGTTCAGCTCGCCGCCTCCACGCACTCGGGAGCAGATGGAGCTCCAGCAAGTCAAGAGGATCCGCTTAAGGCTAGAGGAGGAACTTAGGCAGGCTACTAAAAGAGAGAAAGAGATCAAAGAGAGAAGTGTCAGACTAGAGAGTAGGGAGGCAGACTTGGCTGCGCTAGAGGCGTTAGAGGACACGGCCCTAAACACTACAGGAAAGATCCTGAAGGCAAGCGTCCTATCCATGCATGCGTACATAGATAGCAAGATGGACGCCATGTAGGATACTGTAGACCAGATCCTACAAGCGCTGCATAAGCCAGGGATTCGGCCAGCAGCTTTGCCATCGCTGTCATTCTCAGCGATGACATGCCTCTATGCCGCTTAGTCCGGACCACCATCAAGTGTTACATCAGCAACAACTCTATCTCAGATTGTTGCTTCTTCATCTTCTGGTCCAACGACTGTTGCTACACCACAGTCGCCACCTGTCTCGGAAGCGGGACAGCCATATCCTTGGTATCCCAAGACCCCACTGAACTCACCTTCAACCTTCTTAGGAGACAAGAAGGATGAAGCTCTTGACACGTGGTTGAGAACGGTGCGAGTGTGTGTGAGGGCAAAGAGGACATTGGTAGAGGAGGAGGTGATTACTGCTGCATCCTACTTAGAGGGTTCAATAGCTCGCTGGTTAAACTGATTGGTAGCTTCAAAGGGCTTCGGTAGGAACATGAGTGATTGGGCGCATACCCACACCTTGGAGAGCTTTATGGACTTAGTGGAGGCTCGTTGGCACAACCCTCAGCAGACACAGATTGCCACTGATGGGATTCTAAAGCTTGACTCGAGAAAGTACAAGTCAGTGCGAGAGTTGACCACAACCGTAGAGCGTCTGATTGTCGTCCCAGGAGTGGAGTACAATCCACAGGTCTTGTTGACCACGTTCTTGAGATGTTTTCCCACAGACATCAGGAACTTGTTAGCCAGTGAGGCAAAGAGTATCACACGTTTGAGATATTCAGCAAGAAGGCCCTAGACTTAGAGGCTACACTGGGTGGTGCTCAAACCTCTTCTGCGGATGGAAGAAAGAAGACGACTCCACAAGAGTGGAAGAAAAAGGGTAGTCGGTTGATGATGGTTGATTCCGATGGGAATCAAACCGAGATCGATGATGTTTCTGAACTTGTGGAGGGTTCAGAGTTAGATGACGAGGAGAGTGATGAGGGTAACAACCTCGCCGCCGTAGTCAAGACTAAGGCAGGTGGCGGCGGGAAGGCTGGTCAACAAAGGGGTCAGGGGCAAGCCGCCAACCCAAACAAAATTGCTGCTTGGGTAAGGGCAGGTTTGGATCAGGATGTGTGGCGGGACCGTTGGCAGCGGGGAGCTTGCATAAATTGTGGCGAGTATGGCCATACACAGTTTAAGTGCAAGAACCCGAAGGTCTCGCAGAAGATCCCTCCTAAGGGTGGGTTTTCTTCTTCTCAGTTTGGGGTCTCTACGAGCTCCACGCGGGAAACACTTAGGGCCAGTAGAAGTTGTAGCTGCTTCTACTCTCGTTGAAGCGGGTGATGTACCCTCCCCGTTTCAAGAGATGGCCAAAGCTATTGACTCCTTGGTCATCCCGCAGACGCGTCCGGACCCAAGTATACTCTGTACGTTGGATGTGTCTGAGGCCTTAGAGGACCTTCAAGGTGACTGGTCGGCAAGGGACCCTCGTGAGTCCTGGGTGGCGCTGAGTAGGGGTCCTAGAGGGGAGCATTTCGTTGTGGAAGTTGATGTGGGTGGTGGCAAGTGCGGTGCCTTCGTAGACATTGGCTCCACGCGAAACTTCATAAGTCACGACTGCGTTGACAGACTGTGCCTAAAGGACCAGGTGCAGCGCCTTAGTAGACCAGTAGCATCTACTTTGGCCAACAAAGAGCGCATGATGGTGGAGGACTACGTTAAAGATGTAGTCTGCACCTTCTCCTACCCAGGAGGAGAGATAAACCATAAGATATAATTCCTGGTGAGCGATGAGTTGCCCTTTGACATGTTATTGGGCATGTACTACCTCGAGGTTGCCAAGCCCCAGTTTGACTGGGACAAGGTGTTGAAGCACGAGTTGCCTAGTGGGAGAACCGTGAGACTGGCCAAGTACAAAGCCAGTAGGTTAATAGACTCCTATGGGTGCTTATGCGCATCCCCCTTTTATAACTATTATAAACAGAACCAAGAGGAAGGAATGTACTTAGTTTATGTCTCTGCAAAAGAGGAGGCCGTTAAAACACCCCTAGAGATAGACACCATCGTCGCCAAGTACCTTGATCTGTTTGAGGAGCCTACAGGAGTCGTGGACAGGGAGGTTGTCCATGCCATAGAGATCATCCCCGATAGCAAGACACCTTAAGGGATAATCTATAGGATGGCTCCGACCGAGTTGGACGAGCTTCGTCGGCAACTGAAAGAGCTCACAGAGAAGGGTTGGATTCGGCCCCCTTTGGCTCACCAGTATTGTTTGTTCCAAAGAAAGGGGGAACACTAAGGATGTGCATTGATTATAGAGGCCTCAATGCCATCACCGTTAAAAACGCAGAGCCTCTACCACGCATCGAAGACCTATTGGATAGGGTGCAGGGGTGTAAGTACTATACAAAGATAGACTTAAAATCCAGCTACCATCAGATTGCCATAAGACCAGAGGACCAGCACAAAATCGCATTTCAGACGAGGTACGGTCTGGATGAGTTTGTGGTGATGCCCTTTGGCCTTTGCAATGCGCCGGGTACATTCCAGCACGCCGTGAATAGGATCTTCCATAACTACTTGGACAAGTTTGTTGTCGTGTACCTCGATGACATACTTATCTTCAATAGATCTGTCGAGGAGCATGCCCAGCATGTAGACACAATACTTTCACTCCTTCGACAGCACAAGTATAAGATAAACATAGAGAAATGCGAGTTTGGTCGCACTCGAATCTTGTACTTGGGTCATGAAGTATCCGCGGATGGAATTAGGCCTGAAGATGCTAAAGTGGCTAGCATACGTGACTGGCCACGACCCCAGTCGGTGACTGAGGTCAGATCATTCTTGGGAATGTGTGGTTATTGCCGCAATTTCGTGAAGAACTATATCACGTTTGCATCTCCCTTGACTGATCTAACTCGACTTGACAGACCATGGGACTGGACCGACGAGTGTGAGGCAACTTTCAAACGGTTGAAGCATGCTCTCACACACCATGAGGTTCTCATGGTACCCGATCCGCAAAGGCCATTTGTTGTAACCACTTACGCAAGCCAATATGACATTCGCGCAGTGCTGGCTCAGCAGGACGGGAAAAAGTTGAGACCGGTTGAGTACATGAGCAAAAAGATGCCATCAAAGAAGTTGGCAAAGTCCACCTACGAGAGGGAACTCTACGCTCTTCACAAGGCACTTGTCCACTGGAGGCACTATTTGTTAGGGAGGTTCTTTTACTTGAGAACTGACCATCAGACCCTCAAGTGGATCAAGACTCAACCAGTTCTCCCTGGTGCACTCAAACGCTGGATTGAAGTCATAGATCAATATGACTTCAAACTAGACTATGTGAAAGGAGAGTACAACAAGGTTGCAGATGCGTTGTCTAGGAGGGCAGACTTCCTAGGTGCACTGATTTCTGAGTATGGTTTGTCTGAGGATGTGACTCAATCGTTGGGGGAAGCCTACAAGGAAGACCCCATCATGATGGACATCATTAACAAACTTCAGGCCAAAGATAAGGCCACCATTGACGAGTTTGTGATGGTGGATGGGTTACTCTTTCTTGAGAAGGCAGGGTTCAAAAGGTTACTTGTTCCATCTAGGGAAATTTTGCGTAGTTTATTTTTAGGAGAGTGTCACGACGCAACGGGACATTTTGGCTACAAGAAGACTAGTGCTAATTTAGTGCAACGATTCTGGTGGCCTAACATGCTTGACGATGTGAAGGAGTACGTGGAGACCTGTCAGGTCTGTCAGCGAGACAAGCCGCGAACTCAAGCCTCTACCCATTCCTGCTGGCCCAGGGCAGAGTATCTCCATGGACTTCATGGATACCATTGTGACCAGCAAGAATGGCAAGAGGCACATCTTCGTCATAGTGGATAGGTTCACTAAGTACGCTAGACTAATCGCCATGCCAGAGACAGCTAGGACTGAGCACGTTATCAAGTTGTTCATGGACAACTGGATGCGTGACTTTGGACTTCCAAAGATGATCGTTAGTGACAGAGATGTGAGATTCACAAGCGAGATGTGGAAGAAGGCCGCTGAACAGATGGGCAACCAGCTTCAGATGACTTATGGGAATCATCCCGAAGCAAATGAGCAGGCTGAACAGATGAACCGTGTGGTGCAGCATCTGCTGAGGCATTACATCAAGCCCAGCCAGGATGACTGGGATGAGAAATTACCTCTCATCGCGAGCCTGTACAATAACACTGTACACAGCACCACCGGTGTCAGTCCTAATCAACTGCATCTAGGGTGGAAGCCTAGATCTGCTCTAGACTTCCTCCTGCCTGAAAACCGAACTGCTGCAACTCCTGGAACCATTGAATTTGGTGTCCAGTATGAGAAACTGTTGCAGCAGACTGTCGAACACATCAAGAAATCTCAAGAAGTCATGATTGCTTATGAGAACAAGCRTCGCCRACAGTCCAYATTTCAGGTAGGGGAACGTGTCTGGGTGAAGGCTAGTGAGTTGGAATAGGAGTTTGGCATCTCTAGGAAACTAATGCCTCAGTATTTCGGTCCCTGGGAAGTCCTGGACATTGTGGGGAATGATTTGGATGGTCCCTTGTACGTCATTTGCATCCTTGGTCACCTACGTACTTACCCTGTTTTTCACGCCTCAAAGCTAGCACCTTTCACTGAGACAGCAGAGTTCCCATCACGGAGATCTATGCTGCCCCCAACCATGAACGCCCACGTGGACGTTGACGATATTTTGGATCACAGAGATACGCCTGTTCCCAAGCCAACTGGCAGGGGAAGACCTCCAAAACCTGCAAAGGAGTACAAAGTTCATTTCAGGCATCATACGGATCCGAAGGAAGATCGATGGATTTGAAGGGAGGAACTTATTAAGACAGTTCCTCAAATCGTGGCAGATTATGAGAAGAGACTAAAGGGGAAGGCTCCAGCATGAAGGATCTCAGCGGACTTTCGAAGCTAAGTGGGATGGAATGTGAGGAATGAGCCCTCAAGGGGACCCTATCAGACATTTCATGTTCTGGGCTAAGGCCCCAGCAAGCCAAGTGCCCGCCCTAAGTGAAGGCAGGCCTGCATACTCGTCACAGGCCAAAATTCGACATTTCCATATGTGGGTATCCAAGCTCTCGCAGCGTGTCAGTTGGTTGAGTGAACGCGCGAGCCTTACTAAGCTGCGTTGTACAGTTGGCCCAGGCCATGAAAGTTGTGCCTGGGCATATACACACAAAGCAGGGCTGATACATTGAGAAGCTAGGCCGTGCCCAACTGAAAAGGGCCCAGGCCCTCAACTGTAAGTCTCGGGCCTGGGCATAGGGTTTGGGGCCCAACTGGAAGCTGCTGGAAGCTTCCAGCCAGGCCAGACGCAGCATCCAACACGCGCCCACTTCCATAAAGGAAGTAGGGCAGCCTAGGCGAGGTACACTGGCCAGCGTTGGCAATGCGGAAGTGCTGCTGCGCTTCTACTTGATGCCGTGCTAATGCCAGGGGCGCTGGCGGAGCGCGAGGTGGTGAGAGGGGCGCTGCAGGGCAGCAGGGCGCAGGCGGCCATAGCCGGGCTGCTGGGTGCCAGGGGGTACAGCGGATGATCGGGTGGTCTTCAGGGAAGGAGGCACCTTGTGGGGTAATCAAGGTCTGATTGARGGTGACGAGWTACGTACCTGGTACATGAWGAGAGGTCGACGATGGTGTTGGCAGTCATGTACATTGGTCTTCGAGAGTCGAAGTGATCCTGTTGCGTGAACCGGCTGTAGGTAGGCTAGTCAGGTAGAGTAGGCTGGGTTCCGAGCGCTAGACAGGAGAGAGCGACTTTGGATATTGTGTTGGTGTGGCCTACGGGCTTGGACATTGGCTCATTACTTTATTGTATTGCTCTATATGGATGGTTTTCTCGGTGCATTTGTACTTTCTGCTTGGGACACGACTACTGGTTCAGCTGTGTGATTTCGCAACTTGGTTTTATGTATATCGCTCACACTCATATTCCTTGCAGTTGCGTGTATTGACTTTATTGTGCACTGTATACAAGCGGCGTGCGGGGCTGAATGGGGGGCTGGCGACTTCCATTTTTTGCGACGGCCGATGTATGGGCGAAGTATTGGTAAAGGGTTGCAGGGAAAAATAGAAAAAAGGAGAAAAGAAAAAAACGGTTGCAGGGTATACCTTCTTGGCCTTTTGGCCAAGATCAGGTGTAGTATTTGTTCTGGTCAGTTCAATAAGTGATTGGTGGTCGATCGGGCCACATTTGAAAAAAAAGAAAACAGAGGGTTGCAGGTGGCGGGATCATAGTAAACCCAACCAGGGGGTGGCTGGTCATCATAACTCCCCCCGCACCCTTCCCTACCCACACAAGATCTCTCATCCTCGCTGTCAGGCTTAAGACCCCCGCTCAGTGCACACAGTCAAGGATGGCACCCGAACGTGGGAGAAGAGCTCAGCGAATCCAGTCCGTAGGTTTACTACCCCCCCGAATTGCTACACTGTCAAGGGCCCTTAGCCTGGTGAACGGTGGACTCTAGGAGAATTGCTCCCCAAGGTCGGAGGTGAGCTCAGCCTACCCAATCCCCTGCTTTACTAACTGCCCCCCACTGCCCCCTCAAATTGCTACACTGTCACGGGCTCTTAGGGCACACTCACACTAGGCCCTCAAAATTGCAAAATCCCAAAATGAGCGGCCAAATCTAGTCCTTCCTTTACAAGGACTCGATCTGGCCACTCATTTTGTGATTTTGCAAGTTTGAGGGCCTAGTGTGAGTATGCTCTTAGCCTGGTGAAAGGTGGACTCTAGGAGAATCTCTCCCCAAAGCTGCAGACGAGCTCATCCTACCCAGTCCCCTTGTCTATTGACTTCTCCCCGCTCTCCCCCCCAACATTGCTACACGGTCAAGGGCCCTTAACCTGGTGAACAGTGGTCTCTAGAGCCACTAAACCATGTTTATTAGTCTTAGGGGCCTATTGCCCTAAGTGACCTGTGTGACCCTGTTGGGTCTGGTCAGTCCTTTCAGAACGTGGTACCACCCCGGCCCCTCTCAGGGGACGGGGGCCCTTCTGGCATCCCGCGGTATACGCAACCATATTATGAGCCCTGGGTTACCCCTTCCATGTCGTGCATGGTCAATATGGTGGGGGGAGCCCTTCTGGCACTCCCGCAATATACTCAACCATATTATGACCCCTGGGTTACCCCTTTCGTGCAGTGCATGGTCAAGATGGTTCTTCACGCCCCGGTTATGTCTTTTTGCCCTGCTCCCTACCGTCTTCCCCTGAATAGAACGCATATGCGTTGTGTTCGAGTTGCTCAAAGATTTGAAAATTTGAATAGAACATATATGTGAACGGTTTTTCACCTTTACGGTAGCAAATGCAGTTCCCAGGGATCGATCCCCAGACCTCGCCCTTACCCGTGTACAATACTAGTTGACCCGTGTGTGCTTGAACCCGCAACCTGTCTTGAAAGTCGCCTGTTTGTTTGCTGTAGGTAGGGTGGTCGTTGGGTCTTGAACAATAGGTCGCAGATTAGCAGTCTTAGTAGTGGTAGGGGCCGTAGCTGCTACAGTACCGAAAGGTCAACGTTGGTCGTAGCTGCGACAACACTGAAGGGTCACATAGGTTAGGCTAGGTCCTTTTGGAACAGTCTACTCTGCCCCTTCGTGAGTCCTACCTGGCAGTCCCTAGGCAAGTGGGCAAGTGGGCAGTCTAACTCAGCTCAGTCAATGGTACCCAGTCCCGGTCGCACTTTGTCAAGTCAGCAAGTACCATGTGGGACCGTGTGCACCTCGGGCCCAGGGTCCAAGGGCAGACCTTTGACAATCTGAAGTATAAATAAAGATGCAGCGTCAAACCACTCATTCATTCTGCCTGTGAGGCGTGTGGAAGCGATGCCGGAGCATCTTGTGTACGAAGTTCTGCAGGTGCCCGAAGGAGAATCGGGCTAAGAGGAGGAAGACGCGACCATATCCGCTTGTGTTAGTGATAGGAGGTAGAAGGCAGTCATAGCTGCCAAGTAGCGTGTTAGTGTGTGTGTATATGAGCACGAGTGAGATTTTGTGTGTGTGCGACACATTCCAGGGTGTGTGTACGAACAAGTTGTTGGGAGTATGGTGTACGGCCATAGCTGTCCGAGACAAGTTTGATTCTGAACTGTGTTCTTGGCTACGTTATCTCTGAGCTTTGTGTGGGCACAAATCGCCAGCTTGATCGTCATCTGTTTGTACGCATGCTGAGTGTCGGGGAAAACAAGTCCGATTGCATTGGTGTCAGAGCTGGTTCCCGCTGTCTCGCCATTGAGGTTGTGATCGCCGCTGCTCGTCGTCATCGCGATCGGAGTCGTTGTTGTTGTCATCGAAAAAGGGGCGCCATGTCACCACCATCGCCGTGGAAAGGAGAAAGGGAGGTGCCAAGTGGAGAGTGGTGCCACGTCAGCCAGCGCCAACAAGATAGGGAGGAGGAGGGCGCCTTGCGCCCAGACTGTGTGCCATCTTGGGGGCTCGACACCAAGAGGAGCAGAGAGGCTCCACGTCAGCATACGCACGTTGCTACGCACCCTGCTGCCGCCATGCGCCATTGCGCGCCCAGGCCAAGGGATCGCAGCGCCGATCGTTACCGCGCTGTTCGTTGCTGCGCACTGCCCGTACTCGTGAGTGCCCCCTGCCGCACGTTCGCGTGTCGATAGATCGTGTTTGTTCCTGCGCGTTCACATTCGCGCGCTTGCTGCTACGCACCAGACTGCTGCTGATAGTTGTTCCATGCCGTCGCAATCGCCCGTGCCCCGTCGCTATTATGCGTCGCTGCCCGCTATCCACGCACGTCCCACTACCGCTTGTTGCCGCTGCGCGCAACTGCTCATTGAGAGATTGCACACTTGCTTTGCTGCACACGGAAAGGAGATTGCGCATTCGCGCTCGCACTGAAGTTCGGTCATCGTTGAAGGAGAGGGCTGCTACCTACTGTGCTGCTGAAGGACCCCGTGCGTGTGGCTTGAAGTTGGAGGGGGGTAGCCACCGCCATGTGAATAAAGACCGGGGGAATTGTGTCGGACGCCAAGTTGCAGAAACCGCCGGGGTTGCTACATCGAAGGAGGAGATTGTTGCCGCTAAGTTGAAGAAAGAGTGGCCATAGCTGAAGCGTTTGAGAAGGAAGGAGACGACGATGAGCGAAGAAGAAAGAGAGAGAGAGTGGGAGAGAGAGAGAGGAGCGGTACAAGATTGGTTGTGCAGCCTCGAGAAAGAAGGTGGCGGTCATAACCCCTAAAGCTTGAACCTTGCAACGAAGAAGAAGACTGAAGTGACAAAGAAGAGAAGACAGAGGAGGAAGGAGGGAGGAGAGACGAGGGAGAAGGAAAACACCACAACCAAGGTGGTTGAAGGAGGAGGACCGGGGGAAAGAGAGAGAGAGGTTGGCGAAGGAGAAAGGTCGGCAGCCATAGCCGAAGGTTGGGACTTTGTCTGGGAAGGTTTGACCAAGAGGTTTGACCAAGTCGACTGGCCGT